TAGAAAATAGCTAAGAAGCAGAGCTAATCAACAAGGTTATTTGAAATATAAGAATCAGAACAGAACTAAAAATAAAACTAGAAGCAAATAGAGAAGAAAAAGAAATAGTATTTTATACAGATAGCTCACTCAAAAGGGAAAATATTAGAAACAAAATAAGAATGAGATTTAGTGTAGTTCAAGTAGATAGAACAAATAGTATAGTTTTTAGTTATAAGGAAAGGATAGAAAACTAGTTCTTATCTACTTGTACAGAGCTAGTAGCTTGTCTAGTAGCAGTTTTGTTAGTTCAGGATAGATACAAAGTTGAAATAAGAATGGATAGTATAGATACAATCTTTGCAATTGAAAATAGTCTTAAGAATAAGAAGACATATGAGTAGTTAAAGTATAAGAATAATAATATTCTACATGTAATTAAGAAGGTCTGCAAAAGTAAATCAGTTTAGCTAATACTGACCAAAATCAAAAGTCACTTAGGTGATACATATAATGACCTTGCAGATATACTTGTAAAGGAAGGAATATACAAAGCAAACTATATAGAACTGAACAATATTAGCAATAATAGCATAAAGTATATCTCTAAATAGAAAGAGCTAAGTTTGAAAACTCTACTAAGAGCTTTTGTTAAAAAAGTAGTTTAAACAATATATAAGGCAAAATAGACTTAGCTAAGAAAGAAAAATGATATAGAACACTAAACAAGAATACAAAAACAGAATTGGAAAGCTTTCAAAAATATACTAGAAAGTTGTCGCAAACAATACTAAAACCCTGAAGTAAATCACTTGAGATTGTTCAAAATCAAATGCATTAAAAATCTCCTTCTAATAGTAGAAATATTAAATCATAGAAAGCTACAACTGTACAAAGATAGTTTATGCAAAAGATGTTTAAAGAAAAAAAAAACAATCGAATATTAAGTCACCTATGAAAAAATATATCAGGTACTAGAAAAAATTGAAGATGAAGTATAGCAATAGCTCTATAAAAACAAAAGAAAAGAAGTAGATTAAGATCTAAGGAGTATACACTAAGCGTTCTATTGTGAACAAAAGACAAAACAACAAATAAGAAAAGAATAGCTAAGAGGAATACTTTGTGAAGAAGATTCCAAGAGAATCAAAACTACTATCAGTATGGAAAGTATAACGACTAAGTTCTGGAGCATGTTTTAGCATATTTAAATAGAACTAGTATATAAGAAAGTTTAGAAAAATTGATGCAAAGAGATAGAAGCTTGGGAGAAAAAAGAAAAGATCTCTAAAAAAGAAAAATACACAAAGAAAGAAAAAGGAAAAAATATTCTAAAAAAAAGATCTTTACAAGAAAAAACAAACTGCAGAAGAGATGAGAATACAAAAAGTTATAATATTAGTTTTAAAATAGTAATAAATAGTATAGTTAGAGAAGTAAAAGAGAGAATTTTAACTATCTAGATCTAAAATTAGTCATAATAAGCTATAGTGTCCTTCCTATATTGATTTGTAGTTTATTTTTTAACTATTTAAGTATAGGACAAAGGTTACTATAGCAGATTGTATATAGATATCTATAGAATAACCAGGTAAGTCAAAGCTTAAAAAATTAGATATTAGATAGTATATAGCTAAATAATGTTGTTTTCAAATAGAGAACAAATCTAAATAAAGTTCTAGTATGATTGCTGAACTAAAAAAAAAAAATTTGAATATTTTTATATTTTAAAAGAGAAATTATAGGCATCTCTAGCCAGAGATATATAACTTATATATTTCTGACTTTTTAACCAATTAAAATACAAGAATATTATATGATTTATGATCCTAACTGTCGTAGTAGTTCGATCTGTGAACAGGTAGTACAATTTATGATCCTGACCATAGTTTGACTTGTAAATAGTAGTACATACATACAGTATATATGTGATTATGCGCATCACCAGAAAACAATGTCAGATCAGTTAAAATAATAATTTTTTATTCGACTTTGTTCGTATTAATTTAAGAGAACACTAATGCATTTAAAGTAAGCCATTCGAAGTTACTAATTTTTAACTTTTGTATTAGATCTGTTTGTAGACTATAAATATAAAGAGCACTAAGTTATTTAAAAACAATTATTCAAGCTTATTGACATTTCACATTTGTTACTAGATTTCATTATCATCAATTTGAGCCTGTAAGTATGTAATTAATGTGTTTAAAATATGCTACTAAAATTCGCAAGCTGTTCAAATTTATTAACATTTACTTTTTATATTTAATTCTGTTCTTTCTAATTAAATCTATAAGCATAGAAAGCACTAGTTCATCAATGCATTTAAACTAAGCCATTTTTTCTATTTATCAATTAGCCTGTAAGTATAAAGAGCATTAAGTAATCAATAAACTATTCAGGCTCACTAGCATTTATATTTTTCATTTGTTGTATTAACTTAGAGTGAATATAAGCCATTAATTTGTTCAAAGTTTATTTCGCGTTAATTTAATAGATAATTGTAAATATTAAAGTATTTAAGTTATTCAAGTTCATTAATACTGTTCTTATCATTATACTTGTACCCTTGATGTCACTTCATTTTCCTAGTATAATGAATTTAAATATTCTTGAAGGTAAAAGAATGAAACTGACCTTTCTAAATCTTAATCAAAGTTAGCTTAGATCAAAGGGAGAACTAGAAGAAGGAAAAACATCAAAGCGTACTATATTGAATTCTTTGAATCTTGATCTTAGTGGAAAACATCAGCAATATACTTTACAAGAATACTATACTTGAATCTTTAACATTATAGTCTTAGATTAGAAGGAAAAGTGCTAGCAGATATACTCTGAAAAAACATCATGCAGAAGAAAAAGCACAGGCATATAAGTCTTATATCAGAAAAAAGAAAAGCACTAACACTAGAATTTTCAATATAATAATCTTAGATCTAGATGAAGGAAAAGAAAAGCTTAGTGATGCTAGCTTATTTGAATCCTCACAATAATAGTCTTGAATCAAAAAAAGGAAACCTAGTAGCAGGTGCACTTTGAAAGAACACATGCTAGAATATTCGATATAATAGTCTTGAACTAGAGAGAAGAAAGCACTAGCAGATATACTTTGAAAAAATACCATACTAGAATCTTCGATACAATAATTAGATTAGAAGATGACAAAGTATTTGTAAGATCACTAGACTAACTTCTTTGAATCTTCAATATAATAGTCTTAGATCGAAAGGAGAAAAGACTAACAGTACACTTTGTAAGAATTCCACACTGACTTCTTTGAATCTTCGATATAATGGTTTTAAATCAGAAAAAAGGAAAAGCACCAGTATATGCGCTTGAAAGAAAGCTATGCTGTAATCTTCAATATAGTCTTGAATCAGAAGAGCACTATACTAGAATTGAATCTTCGATATTATAATCTTGGACCAGAAAGAGGAAAGTATTTATGATATACTTTGCAAAAACACTACACTGAATTTGAATCTTAGATATGAGTGATGTTAAGGGAAAACCTGTAACCAAACATATAAATTTTATATGTTTGGTTACAGGTTTTCCCATAGTATCACTCATATAATATTCTTGAATTAAGAAGAGAAAAAGCACTAGCAGATATATTTTAAAAGAACACCATTCTGGATCTTTGATATAATAATTATGAACCAGAACTAACTATGCACTTTGTAAGAACATCACATTGATTTTTTTGAATATTCGATAATAGTCTTGAATCAGAAGAAGGAAAAGCACTAGTAGCAAGTTTACTTTGAAAGAACACTATGATAGAATCTTCGATATAATACTTAGATTAGGAGGAAAGCATTAGCAGATGCATTTTAAAAGAAACTATACTAGAATATTTGGTATAATAATCTTAGATCAGAAGGAGGAAAAGCACTAGTGATACTCTTACAAGTATATCGCACTAACTTCTTTGGATTTTTACTTGAATAATCATAGAAAAGCATTAGTAGATACACATTGCAAGAAACAACTTTGATTTTTTAAATTATTATCTATTTCATTCGCTTTTATTTAATAATATATTCAATTTTATTAATCTACCATACACACTAATTGCATGATTTAGAATGGAGAATTTCTATTGATCAGTGTATTCAAAAAAGAATTTTCGATCTGACCCAACTAGGATATGAGAGCCAATTATATAAATTTTTGTCGTTTAAAATTTAAGTTTATGTGAGGTACTGTATGTAAGTATATGAGGAACCAGATCTTTATATAATTGATGCCTTATTAATTCTAAAATAAATAGACTAATTAATTTATGCACGTATACTCATAAAGTTATTAGAATATAGTTATATAGAGCTGTAGACCCTTTAATTCGAATCCTCGTTGATTTAATAATGAACAATACGATATTATTTTGTTGAAATGATTCAAAAGCAAATGCCAATTTTTAATTAATCCATAATATACCTAGTAATATAAATTCTCCCAAATAGTCAAGTTTCTATTGGTAGTTAATCTTATATTTATTAATTATCTATGTACTAGTAGCTACTAGTATAAAAATCGGCTATTTGGGAGAATTCATATTACTACATATACCTACTATAAGTTTAGGAAAATATATATTTAAAGCTGTATGCCTTTGAATATGAACAACATTGATGTATCACAAATTATCAGATTGTCTCGTAATTAACCTTTGAGCATTATTATGAGAGTTTTGCATGAAATACACTTTGCTTCTATAATAGGAATAAATTCACTACTATATTACTAAAAAAAACTCAAATTTTTTTTTCGGTTTTCATTTAAAATAAATCTGATAAGTTTCATTATACCAACAGCAATTTTAATTTTTTGATCTTTAATCTGCCTTAAACCTCAAACTTTTATTTGCCAAGTCTTAAATAATAGTTCCTTAATGTACGCATATCTAACTCTCAAACTTTAATATTAAATAATGTAAACTCGAAGCATAGTAAAAAAAAAACATTGCAGTTCATAAAAAATACTATTTTATAATAACAGTATTACTTTGTAAGACAATGATATTTGATGGTAAGGCATGAGTCATTTAATGTAAGGCATTCAAAAAATGTGGGTTAAGATTCATCTTACCAACTTGCTTTTTTTTTTTAAAAAAAAAAAAAAGACACAATCCTGAATCAACTTTCTACTTACGATGAAAGCTATAATAGTGATAAAGAATCTGAAAATTTTTTGGAATCAGAGATCTTATTAGAATTAGAGATTTCTTTAGAACTGAAAACTTCATTAGAGCCAGAAATCTTTTCAGAACCAGAAAACCTTTCTGAACAAGAGACTTTATTAGAACCAAAAAACTCCTTGGAACAAGAAACTCCATTAGAACAAGAAAGCTTGTTAGACTTTGAAAATTCGTCACAACCTGAAAATTCACTTTTTCAACAAGGTTAGGCCTACACATCTCTTGAATCTTTCAAATATGTTGCTGATTAATACGCGAAAACAAAAGGGTTTAAAATTATACTTTATAAAGACAATAATCATAGTGATAGTGTACATTACACACAGCTTTTTACCTGTAATCGATATGGTAAATTCAAGCTGAAGTCCAAAGACCCTAATAAAAAAAAGAAAAATGCAGAGTCAAAAAAATGTAACTGCCCCTGGTCAATTCATCTTAATCTTAACTGAGAAGACGATAAATATTATATTTCACAGGTTGATCTTAATCACAACCACTTTTTGATTCCAGTCCAACTCATGCGTATGTCACCTACTAGTCGTGAAATACCAATGAATATTAAGAAAGAAATTCTGCTTTCAAAGAGAGCAGTTATTTCAACTTTACAAATTTAGTCACTACTTGTTATAAAGTATGGGCCAGTTGCAAAACAGTGGTTGATTTGAGATGTATACAATTTGATTAGTAGTAACCGTATATCACGTAGTGAATTTCAAGCCTATGATTTTCTTCTTCTCCTCCAGCAAAAATGAAGGATTGATCTTGAGTTTTCCTTTGAATTTGAGTTAGACTATGATAACCGCCTGAAGCATGTTATCTGGGTATATTCATCACAAAAATGGCAATATATGCGCTTTTATAATACAATTGTGTATGATAATATGTATAAGTGTAATTATTTTTCAATGTCTTTTGAGATATTTATAGGTATTACAAACAATAGTCTTTCTTACTGTGCTACTGATGCATTACTTCAGAACGAAACTCGTTCAAGTTTTGAATAGCTTTTTGAGTCTTTTCTTCATATTTTTGGAACTGCACTAAGTACGATCCTCATGGATAATGATCTTCTAATGGCTGATGCTATCTGTTCCGTTCTATCTAATAATCATGGTACTAAACATGGGCTTTGCATATAGCATATACTTAAGAACATTAGGTCTAATATGACAGCTAAACTTGGAACAAAATATAGTAAGTTTCATGTAGACCTTATTAAATGCCTTAATCATTACATTGATCAAAATGAATTTAAAGAATTATGGAATAATATTATGGTAAATGATAATTATTCCAGAGCAAAATCATACTTAGAAGTTCTTAATCATTGGCGTGAGCAGTGGGTACTAGCATATCTTAAAGACTATTTCTTTGCCAATATATCATCAACACAAAGAAGGGAATCTATGAATAAATTGTTAAAAGGGTTCCTTGACAGTAAAACTACACTTACAGACTTTTTAATAGCTTTTGAATGAGCATTTGATGTTTGTGAGGAGGCTGAGCATCTTTCTTTATACAAAGAGCTTGTTTATTCTTCCTGTTCGACTTTCCAAAATCTGATTGAAAATCAAGCCTCTAGTTGTTTAACATGATATGCATAGAAGAAATTTTCAGCATAATGGAATGCAAAGGATGTATACACATGTGAGGAAATAACTAGTGATGATGAGTTGTGCTGTTTTAAATTGTCTTGTTATGAAAAACCTGATGCTATATGTTGGGTATGTTATGATGGCTGTAAATTTGCATGCAGTTATCGTAACTTTGAGTTTGCTAGAATAGTTTGTCGCTATTCTCTTGCAGTTGCAGTTCGTCTTTCTTTTTCCTAACTCGATCCAATTCACTTTCCAAAGCGTTGACAAAAGGACCTATCTGAGCTTGAACTTGCTAAAGATTATATTAACTTTTATAGTTGCTCACAATTTCAAGAATTGGGAACTCAAACATTGCATGAATCATCTAGTAAAGGCGCTGCTCATTTTCAATATATGTGTATTCATCGATTATTGGGAGAAATTGTAAGCAGAATTGCAACAGACTCTACTAAATATGTAGATTTTATGTCATATCTCAAGAAGTACTTAGAGACATTATATGATACTACTAATGATTTGAATTTGACCTATATGCTATGATCTCTTGAGAATATATCAGAGTTCTTAGGACACCCAATAATTAACAACCCCATTAAGACTAAGGCTGTTGGACAGCCAAAAAAAGGAAGAATTAGGAGTGAACAGGAGTATATACCTGTAGTTACCAAGAAAAGGAAGAGAGGCCGACTACAGACAAACTCTGAAAAGTATATAACTCAAAACCAAAATGAGAATACTGTACTAAGACAATGAAAACATATTCGTAATAACAATTTATAAGGTAAGTTTAGTATCAGTTCATATTATAATTATTTTATTAAGAGTTACATCTAGCTTATATAATTTATTTTTAATCGCTCTTCCATAAGCATTCTACATGTGTCTATTTTTTAGAATGTGCATTCTTTATAATTTGTACATTGTATACATATAACTTTCAAATAAAAACACTTATAGTTATAACAAATATAATTGAGTTTTTGAAAAGTTATTAAGTCAGTAGTATCATATCTAGCATCTATTTAGTTAAAATGAAAGTTTGAATAAGATTAAACATATGGTAAGTTTTATTTTAATTGCTCATTAACTTTTATGTATACATTAAACAATATTACTCATAATTTTTTAGAAAGAAAATTCGAGATAATATGAAGAAAGTGGAGTGCCTAACATCATAGCATAATGATTAGAGGATTTCAAAGATAGGTATGTAAAAGTATAGATATTGATTATTTTATGAAAGAGTTACAATTAAGTATGGTTCTGTATTTTATACTGCATAATTAGATAGCACATGAAAAATCAATTATATAGAAGATATATAAACTATTTAGCATTGTTTTACTTAAGACATTATTTGTTTCTAAAGAAAACATTCTTTATTTTTCGAATATATTCTCTAACTCATCTATATAATTTTGTAATAGGCTCAATATTTAGATTATCTCAAAACAGAGATAAATGAATATTTGATGGTACTTTAAATACACTGATAATAGAAATTTTCACAAGTTAGAAAATGAATTTAGAGCAGAATATACTAACTTGATAGTAATGATATTTTATAAGACCAATGCTTTAATAAGTTTATAATCTTAGATCTGGTAATGTCTAATAATGAAAAGGTTTTAGAAATACTATAGATTCATGACTTATATTATACCGAAGTATTAACTGAAATTCTTATCTTTATAATTTTACTAGCTATTTTTTTTGTAAGTGTATCATTTATAAATCTGTTTAGCTCTACAATTTAAGTTCATCGTCACATAGTTTAAACTTTTACAGATTAATTTTGATGTTATAATGAATTAAATTAATAAAATACGCCTGTTTTCATACCAAGGCTCAATATAGCATATATAAAAATCTATTTGATTAGTTGACGATCCTTATAGTAGCACCTATATCAATACAATCGATCCTATTACAAACCTCTAATGAAGATGATTATATCTGGTTAAATTTGCTAAAAATACCTGAGAACAAACTTAAAAATTTATTACTTGCTATTTGTAAGAGTAAATTTTTAAATAAACAGCTGATGAAACTTTAAAAAAAAGCTTTAATATTATGATTTATTATGTTTGAAACCAGGTTTATTTTTCTTATGGGTTTAATGATAAAATAATCGATCACGTAACTTCAGATAAATTATGCAATTTTATTAGTCTTATATGTAAACGTCAGTCACGTGCTAACATCTTTCTGAACTCAAAATCTAAGTTGCTCCATATTTGACAAAGTATATTAGTCGTGTGTCACATAACTTTGCTAAATTTTGATTGGTCAATAGGCCAGAGATATATAAGTTATATATCTCTGACCAGAGATGCCTAAAATTACTCATTTTAAAATATAAAGATTTTTAAAAAATAAACTAGCTAATAAGTTAATTATACTTAAAACTACATTTATATCTGAATAAATTTAAAATTATAAAAATTATTTACTAGTTTTTTCTTAATAAATAAAGAACAAAATTATCTAAATTAAAAAAAATTATTTACTAATAGAATTAGTCTTTTTTTTTATTATTATTAAGATAGCTTATATTGCTAAATAAATTTTTATTAGTTTGATATATAAGATTATATATGAGTAATCTTCTATAGTTTGTAATTATATAAAAAGTATACAAAAGTTATATAGAACTTTAATTATTATTTAATTTAAATAGTCTGTTATATAGATATTAAGCTATCTATTAATATTATTTTATATTACTATATTTATAATTTGCTTATGAATTACTGATTTAAATACTCTGTTCAACTAACTTATACTATTATAAACTAATATTACTATAATATCTAACTACTTAAACTAACTAGCTTATTACAAATTTTATTACTAACTTTAGTTTAAATCTTTTTAAGTTATATTATACTTAATATATTATATATATCTGCAAAACTAGTTAATTTTAAAATATACTTACTAGAGCTATTTGTATTTATTTTACAAATTTATCTAACTTAGACTATTATAATATTTGTATAACTCTTATTCCTGTAATAGCTTTTTACTAGTATATATATTCTATTACTTAGAATATTTTATAAAGCAAATATTTTTAAATTTAATTAACTACTAAGCTAAGTTAGTATTACTAATTCTCTTTGTAAAACAAATCACTCTCTCCGATGATCATTTAGACCAACAACACAACACACCGACCTACATAGAAGATATAGCTAACTACAGTAAAATATAGCCAAAACTCTTTACTCTAGCCAACCTATACCTAGAGA